TTCACCTCCAATGTGCAGAACATCTGGATGGAAACAACATAAGAAGATTATTTCCCTGTTAGTATGCAGAATGGAAGGAGTGAGGTAAGGGAGGGAGGAGGGAGGGCAGGAAATGAAAGAGAGGCAATAGAGAGAAAACGGAGAGAGGAGGTCTGCTGACTGACACCGTGACCTCTCCATTTGGGAGCTGTCAAGTTTTACTGCAGGCTGGCAGACACACACACACACACACACACAAACACAGTCAGCAAGTGTTTTCCTATGAATTATGACTCGTCAAATCAGAGAAGCTGAATGGAAAAAGCTCCTCTATACCACTACAAAGCGGCCACACTTTGATTAATGATCCAATTACTATTAAAATAATAATTAAATCAAAGTGTAAAAATATATACATGACTCTTAAACTGGAAGATATAATAAAAGGAGTTCATGTTGTAACTCACAGATACATTATTTCAGGGGGGAATGTGGAAAGTGTAAAGGACATTGTTTAACACAAATTGATTAATAACTAGGGACGCACAATATTGGATTTTTTGCTGATATTAATATGCAGATATGTAACAACTCATTTGGCAACTACTGCAACTGATACCGATGCATCCCTGTAGTTAACCATTAATGGGTTAACCACAGAGAATATATCTGACCTGTTACGTGTGTCAGTCTAAAGGTTAATTTTGCTACTCTTCAGTCAACTGCATCACGCACCTACTGGGTCTGGTGTGAGGTAGCTACAGTAGTGTTAGCGGCGCCACATATTTGGACATTACTGCCAGCAGCACCGTCCCAACCCAACAGCATTGCTGTGGAAACATCGAGCCAACCCTTTGGCCTCCCTTCAGGTCGCCCTGGTGAGTAAGCAGCTCAGTTTTGAGTCCTGAAAACCCCTTAAGCATTGTTGACTCCCTTACCACCGTAAGCACTGTAAGCACAGCTAGTGGTGCTAACATTGTAAACAAGAAGCGTCACCAGAAGAAATTGCCCAGTGAACTGCGCCGCTAGCTTACTAATCTTAGCTCCCTCCCAAATGCGTAGTGCAGAGTGGTTAAGAAACCCAGTGGAGACCAGTGTGTGTCAGCAAAGCAAACAGGAAATACAATAAAAGGCACATTATTAAAATTTCACCACCTCTAATTGGATAGTGCTTTAATATGCAGCACTAAAGCCCATTAAGTCAAAGGAGCACCAGAGTAAAAGGAAAGGCCTCTTTTAAATTAACCATTTAGTGACCAGTTAATGAGTGTCTGCCTTTCAAAAGCAAAATTAACTAAAACTGACATCCTATGAATAACTTTGATTATTGCAGTCACTGTCAGACCTGAGAGAAATGTTTATGAATCTAATTAACCTGGAAACAATAAAGAAAAAAGGCTGTCATTTTTCAGGTTTGCAAAATTTTACTCAGAAAGCACAGCAACATGTAAGGTACAAGATGGACGGATGTTTGTCAGGAGAAAAAATCTGGTGATTATCATCAAACAAACACAAAATATGAAGAAGCTTTTCTGTGTCTCATTGTTAACGTAGCAGGAGAGTCTTATTTTTGGCAGTTTCAGCAAAGTTTAACGTACATTTTCATTTTTTAATCAAAGAAAAATGAATCAAATTGTCAAATTAAGTGTGAAGAAAAGTAAAATTCAGCTTAGCAACTTTTGTTAGTAGAATCCAAAGTATTATTGGTTGATCAATGTGTGTGTAACAGAAAGTTTGGGATCATTATGTCATTTTATAAAGTAATGATGACTGTTGCATTGGTGATGTAATAATCTGGTATAATGACGGGAAAACAACAAGACAACAAGGTTTTGTTGTGTTTGAGGTTGAGAGAGGTAAACAAGAGAAACTGAGAGAAGAGTTGTGGGAGTGTTTTTGGCTGAATGACGAAGTTCAGCACCAGCTGACAGAACAGAGAGACAGACAAGCTGTCAGCAGGCAGAGTGCCACACACACACACACACACACACAGTAGTGGAGGTCTGGGTGGCTTCACACAGATGGCGAGGCTGGCATCACAGTGTGTTCAAGTGTCTGTTCCTTTTCGCCTTTTACAATAACACTTCTATTGAACAAGCAGAGGAATGTGATCTGTTTACATTTAATTATTTTAGTTTATGTTCCCTCGTGTGTGTTTGTGTTATTCTCCTTTTTCTTTCCTTCACTTCATCCTTTACTTTGTTTGCCCACAGTAGTAAATATAATGACCACGACCGTGGAGAATTTTCTTTCTTTCAATGATTAAAATATCTATTCCTGGAAGTAACTGCAATATTTCAAAAATTAAAAGTGGAAGTGTAAAAGTGGAAGTTGGACCATGTGACTGTCTGATGTTGGTTTTGAACTCAGTAACCACAGCATAGTCATACTCAGTATGTGTGTGTGTGTGTGTGTGTAGTTGGTGTCTTGCTGGCTAAGCAGCAGTTCACACATTAACCCTCATGTTTTACAGCTGGGAACAGACTCAGCTCCAGACTTGTCCTTCTGAAAATGAATCCACTATTTCTGTCCAACGCCTCATTATTGAGCTGACACTGAAAATATACCTTATATTTAGACATTTATTTATTCCTACATTGCACTAAAATATATCTGTGAAGCAACAACCTCAGAAATACTGAAGCGAAAAACAGGCTTAAAACCATAAAACCATATGTACTTACTGGAAAAACTGAACGTCTGAGTCATTAGAGGTTCTTTTGGTTAAACGATACACTAAACAAGACTTTTTTTTAGGGGACTAAAGCATTACAGTCAACAGAAAACATACTGAAATAGTGACAGCTACAGCAAAACATACACCCATACTGTGAATCTGGGATTGTGCCAAAGTGGCTGCCTCCATGGCTGAAAAATGGTGCCAGTACGGAAGTGCAGTTCATGTAAAGGCCACTTGAGGCTGGCTCCAAGACAGAGTAAATCCCCACATGTTAAATTACTCAACTTTACAGCAGAAATAAACATGTTCACAGCCTGGTACAAAAACAGTTTTAGTCTCTTTAGCTAATTTTCCCGGTCATGACAACTGTATGGGGAGTGAATTTTCATATAAGTCACAAGTTTATATTTTTTATTAAGGCCCAAAGTCTGTGAGTCAGATCCACCTCTCACTTCTCCACAGCTCCAGCCTTTCATCCAAATATGGTCACTTAAGGCTTCAAAATACCAAGATGGCGATGGCCAAAATGCCGAACTTGAGACTTCAAACCAGCCATCCACAAACCAATGGATACGTTATGGACATGTTACCAAACCAATAGTATCTTGGTTTATCTTTTATCATTTACCCAGGATTTGAAAAACCTTAACGCGTTTCCACAGAAATTACCTGGGAAAAAAAACTTTCCCTCAACCCCAAACTTTCCCTGAAAAAAAGTGCCTAATAGGAAGGTAGGACTTTTCAGATTCCCCGGAATTCTTGAGGGGCGGGGCTGTTTGCTGAAGAATTTGCTGATTGGTGGAACACACACTTGCAGCATTCTGCACTTCCGTGCCAGTGTGGCTGCAAACTTCATTTCATTTCTACAAGCTTCACTTAGTTTGTGTTTTGATCGTTTGGAAAATGGAGCAAAAGAAGAGAAGCTAAGAAAGGTGGACGGACAACGAGGTCCAGGCTCTATTGAGAGTATTTGACTTGGAGTCGGAGAGTCAAAACGATCGAGTCTATGGAAGAATAGCTGACAAGCTGGCAGAGCTAAATATAGGGCACATGCCAAAACAAACTCGTTTTTTATGTCTTTTACCACTCCCCCACACGTCATCAGCCTGATTTCAATACATTTTCCTGATCTTTGAGGTGCGGTGGAAACAAACAACACAGATTACCAGGAATTCTTTTACCCAGGTAAATAAATTCCTGGAAATAAAAGTTCCTGGAAATGTTGGTGGAAAAAGAGCTAATATTGTTGCTGTGGTAGCGGCAACATCCTTAATTGTGCACAACTGTAATAAGTAAATAAAATCTAAACATGTGAGTTATATTACAATTCACACCCCCATACAGAATATTGAATTTAGCTATAGAGACCAAAACCATTTTTTGTACCACGCTGCAAACATTTTTATTTCTGCTGTAAAGTTTGGCATTTTAACACGGGGCTCAATGGGGATTGACTTTTAGAGCTAGCCTCAAGTAGCCATTCAAGGAACTGCAGTTTTTGTTGCTTGCTTGTCACCCACCTACTACTTTCCTATAAAAACAGGAAAAATAGTCCCTGCTCATGGAGTGCACACTAAAGAAATACTCCAGTCAAAGTCTGAAGTCTGTAGACCATGAAAAACCCACCGTTTCCCAACTCTCATAGTTTCTCCACAGCACAACAAAACACACCACTTTCATGTCAGTTTATTGGCAATGTGTCTGCGCTTTCAATCCAGAGGAGTTGATCATTCTAACCCTCATAGGACAGCTTTTCAGTGGAGTATCTCTTTCATAATCATGAACCGTATTTCTTTTAGAATTTGACCTGTTTTGTACATAAAACCACAAAACATACACGACTTCAGAGCTGCTACAAATGATAGTTTTTATATTTTGACGTACTGTTGGGGCCTGATTATTGCTGAACACAGTGTACACAGCAGCGTTGGTGTGAAGCCTCAGGATCAACAAGACTCTTTGTAATAAATAATGAGTTTACAACAAATTAGTTTTCCAAATTTATTTAAATTTCTAATGTGTAGAGAGGGTCCCCCCGTCCGACCCCCGTCTCTCTCTCTCATCATTATTCTGTTCGTCCCTCTGACCCATCTGTGTCTCCCAGACGCTCCCACCACTCCCCCTCTTTATTTCTCCCCTCTCTTTCTGTCTCTGTCTCTCCCACCCCTCCTCCCTCACGTTGACCCCTTTTGTTCACAGCTATTGGGTGGTGGTGGGGCAGGGGGGGAGGTTGTCAGCTGTTTCCTCAATATGTGTGTGTGAGTCTGGACAGTGTGGGAATGTGTTCGAGAAAAAGTTGCAGACAAAGCTCAGTGGAGCCTCAGAGTGTGTGTGTCAGCCGGTGAGGACACACACGGTGTCAGAGCATCCGCAGGAGGACATGTAGTTTGAAGTTTATCTACAGCGGGAAGATTTGTTTTTTAGTTTCTTTTATTTTTGTTGTTTTGTGTTTAGTTTGGGAGGATCCTCAGGTTGTTATCACAGGAATACAAACATCCGCAGGAGAAAATCTCGGTCTGAGCAAAGATCTTATAGAGCGGAGAGAGTATGCAGCCTTCGTCAGGCACTCACCACCATGACAACTGTGTTCAGACGCAACTGTGCGGTGAGTTTCTCATCTGTGCTCACAGAGAGAAAGATTTAACTTTGATCATCTCGGATTTCGTTCTGTACTGTTGCTAGTATATCATTTCTTTCTGTGGCTCTGTCTATGTTATTTCTCTTGCTGGAGTTGTCTAAAATCGCTTAGTTGATTGACAGAAAATGAGCTGTAAGTCATTCATCAAGCTGATGTGCCAAATATCGACTGATTTCAGCTTCTTAAATGTGATGATTTGCTCTTATTGTGTTGTTTGTATCTCCATAGATTGAATATCTGCAAGGTTTAGATAGTTGTTAGGACAAAAATGCAATTTGAATCCTATTTCTTAGTAGGCTTTTGGAAATTGTGATGATTAGATGGAACGAGTGTTGGGCCACCAGGTGGTGACCATACCTGCAACTGGTGCTCTACTTGATAATAACAGGTGTCTGCAGGTCGTTAAAAAGTTTTAAAATGTCTAACATTCTCTAAACTTTAGGCCTTGAAAGTCATATAATAGTCTTGAATTTTAATTTGTAAGTTCTCTTGTGTAGAAGGCCACATTTTTCTAATAACCATGCTCCTACATAAAACATACCTCTGAACAGGACCACATACATACTCACATTTATACCTACAGTGTTTGAATGAAAACAAGATGATTTATCCAAAAATCTGTCTTAAATTTGATTTAAAATTATCTTTAAAAGGTCTTGAAAACCATTAAATTTGAGTATCTGATATGTGTAGTCACCCTGTTGGTTAATCCATTAATATCTTACCTGCGACAGATATGAGCCATCAAAACTGCAGTTGTAAATGTTTCTTAAGTTGTTAAAAAATTGATTATGGACCAATTTTTTTTGCAACTTTTCCAAAAGTTAACAGAGAAATAAATCGCTTGTAGCTGCATTCCTGATGAGCTCGACACCTGACAAAGAGATCTGTAACCATTACAGTAAATTACTTATTAACAAAGCGATTAGTTATATAATGTATAATCTGTTTTTAAATTTAAGGCTGCCTCGTTAGTAAAGTTGTACCTGACTTTCCAGAAAATGTACTGCGTTGTGATATATATGGATATACTGATGCAAAGTGATTTTGTCCTACAGTATGTGACCTCTACATGTCATGACTGCTCTGTTTAACCCACTGGTGTCACACATGCTGAGGCTCTGTGGACTTCTGTTGTTGGTCATGTGTTATAGGGTGATTTTTTTATTGAGGTCATGTGTTCATATAGTGTGTGACCTGGTCAGTAGTGTTGTGAAGCCAGAGGAAGTAAACATGTTGAGTACAGGTCTGAGAATAATGTATGAAAGGTTGAATTCATAGTAGTTTATGAATGAGTTATGAGGGTCACCTGACTGTGTGTGTGTGTCTGGTTAGCTGGTCAGACAACTGTGAGAACTGGTGTGAACTGTCTGAAAACCTGTCTGCAGCGTGTGTGTGTGTGTGTGTGTGTGTGTGTGTGTGTTGTCTGCAGGCCTCTCTGTGTTCTGCTGTCTGACTAGGCCCTGACCTCCGCCTGCTCCCCGTGAAAAAAAAAGTGTGAGAAAAATGCTCCGTTTGTGTGTGTGTGTGTGTGTGTGTGTGTGGGGGGGGGTGCAGGAGGGGGGTCAGAGCAGACTGCCTCTAAACAAAGCTAGCCCTGTCTGTCTGGTCTAGTCTGGCTGTGTGTGTGTGTGTGTGTGTGTGTGTGTGTGTGTGACCTCTACATAAGGACTACATCTCTGTCTGAACTGTGTCTGAAAACCTTTTTTTTCTCTCACAGCACAGAAACATACAAACCTTGTGGTTGAGCTGACATGTTACAGTCCAGACTCAGACACTATTTTAATGTTAAACTGCTCATTTGAGTCATTTTATTTTCTATCACCACATCCAATGAAGAAACCCAAACCAACAATAAATAAATCAAGTGTTCCAGTCAATAAGTCCGTTAATCAATAGCTCCCAGCAGATAATTAATAACTATTATAGATATATTTATGTATTAAACAAAAATGTCAATCACTGTCTGGTTGTCCAGAATAAGATCGCAGCTGTGGATGGTTTTATATGACTTAAAATTCAGTGTCCGTCACATATGAACAATTTTTCCGATGTCATTCTTTTTATTGTATTGACAGACTTTAATACAAATGTGGGAAGATTAATAGGAAGTTAGGTCATACTTTTATTCGTATCCATGTGACAATATTGCTTCAGCTGAAGTGAATACTGTTTCTCTCAGGACCAAAGCACGTAAAAATTAAAGTGTATATGTGAGACGTTATCTTAAACATTTGTTGTAAAACATAAAAAAGGTGTGATGGTGCATTTCTCTAAATTTTCTAGTTCACAAAGTTTAACTGACCTTCAAAGAAAAAGCAGTAAGCTGTTGAATGAGGTGCTCTGCTTTGCTCTGTACATGATCTCCTGAGTCATCCTACACTTCCCATAATGAATCTGGATAGTCTTTTCATTAGACTCTCCCTGCCTGGGAAATGCCCATGTTTTGCAAACTGAAAAACTGTAGTGTCCAAGCCCAAGCGGAGATAACCCTGTTGACATCACTATGACATCATCAGGGTCATTTTCCTTTGTACAGGTGAACAGAATGAATCATGACGAGTGAGCTCATCTTGATCTGTGTCTCCGTTTTGTTCTTGTAGCCCAGCTGGAGTTCGTCCAGATCCTGGTGATCGTGGTGGTGATGATGGTAATGGTGGTGGTCATCACCTGCCTGCTGAACCACTACCGCCTGTCAGCACGCTCCCTCCTTTCCAGACACGCCCCAGCACGCAGGAGACACCTGCCACTGGCCAACGTGAGTCACACAGTTACACCTAGTCTGTCATGATACTTACATTTTATCCAGATGACATTTATCCACACTACTTTTACATTTCGGTACAACACAATAGAGCATAATGCACAGAAAAGACCTCTTTACATAAAATAAGGTAATTAAGATAAAGATTAATAATACTGCTGTTTTTTAAGGGATCTGATTTGATGAATCTCGGGTACATTTATGTCTTGTATTTAAGTGTGGCCTGATGGCTGTCTGATTTTTGAAGATGCATATTTTTCCAAAGTGTAAAAGGGGATAACATTCAGAGCCTAATGCTTTGGTCATTCAAAGAACAAATGGTGGCAAAATAATGATGTAAAAATGACTGCTAATTTAAGGTGAAACTGAACGCTGGCTCACATTATTAACTTTCATAGCAGATATCTATATATGCCACAGAACTATAAAGCCTACTCTACACTATGGCACTCGGCTCGTGGTGCTCAAAGCGCTAAAAGTACATTTGAAAATCTCAACGGCAATGTCTCGTTCCAGAAATCATGACCTGGTTACTCAAGATAATCCGCAAAACTTATTCTAAGCAGTTTCATGTAGGAACTATTTTCTTTCCACCAAATGACATCCACCACCCATATCACTGCACAGAAGGAAGCGTGCATCTGCTGCTAGCTCACCTAGCACCACTGAGCTAGCTAACGTTACAGCTCAGCCGACGAGGACGGGAGTTAAGAGGCCCATTAATACTGGATTTTTGGGCTAACGCCGCTATTACGAAGTAAAAAAAATCCTAATATTGATAGATCAGCCGATATTCTATCAATCCATCTTTATCTGTATCTAGATATCTAATGCAGTTATCGCTCAAATATGGTCATCAAACAATTATGAAGCGTAATGGAAGCTGAATCACTTAAAGCATTTTCTGGATTATGTTCTGTAAACAAAAAAATCTTTTCATATCGGTGCATATCTGACAACATATACGTCAGTATCGATATACCTGTGAGAGGCCAGTATCGGCCGATGAAACTGACTGACCGATATATCAGTCGGGCTCTACCATGAGTAGATGCACGCTTCCTTCTACAGTTGGCAGAAAGAAAATAGTTACTACATGAAACTGCTCACAAAAAGATCTGTGGATTATCTCAAGTAACCAGGTCATGATTTCTGGAAAGAGACATTGCCTTTGAGTTTTTTAGATTCAGTGCCATCTTCTTCCATTATATTGAAGAGTACGCACAACAGCACAGGGGTGAACTGTCCCTTTAAATATACACATTTAAATTGCAGCCTGTATCAGTGTGAAATTTAGAAACAGTCGAACATGATTAGTCGACACAGATATCACTATAGAGACATACAAACTGTACATGATTCAGTAAAAACATGATCAGGTCTAAACAGACTTCCCACTGTGCTGAATGAGGGGAGGAGCCGAGTTATCAGTCAGGTCTCAATGAAAGACACAATCAGAGGAGTTCTGAGTGACAGCATGTGATCATGGTGATTAAACACTGCTGCAGGCGAACGCTAACACACTGACTCATTTCTTCATTAAGGGCCACAGCAACAACTATTTCAAGAAACACACACACAGACAGATGCACACACACAGAGACACACACACACGCTGACTTACACCTGAGGCCTCTACAAACATATGATTTCACTTGTGCTCCTTGAATCACCTGCTACTGAATCACTGATGTGTGTGTGTGTGGCTCCAGTCTGCAAGTAAGACATGAGTAAAGGATGAAGCATTATCACGCACGCACACACACACACACACACACACACACACACACACACACAGCTCCTGATAAGCTCAGGGGAGTCATTGTCCTAGTTAATTTGGATTAGCAGACAGACACACTGACACACATACAGTCAGTCAGCCAGACACGCACACAGACAGACAGGCAGGGAAACTGTCGCCAGAGAAAAAACTGCACAAAAGTTGGAAAAGTTCATTCTAGACGTTTCTATAGAAGTGAAGAGCTGCTTTTGTCTTCTCGCTGAGGCATCGAGACATGACTGATTTCAAATTATTTCCATTATGTGTTTTCACTCTGAAACTTTATTTATCCACGGGTTATTTCAGCAGCAAAACGTAATAAGATCTGCAGCAATGAGGAGAAAATAACAAACTGTGCATCACTCAAAACTCTGATGAATTAAAATAGATAGATATATATAAATACATTTGAGTTATATTTTAAAGTATCAATAAGATATAAAGATGCTGCAGTAAGTGAAGCCCTCTAGTGGACAAAAGTATAATCACAGCACAACAGAGCAGGGTCCCACGTACATGCACATGAAATGTTATTGTGGGTCCAAGAAAAGTCATGGTAAAGTTTTAAAATTGTGTCCATGAAAATGTGTGGGAACCCTGTATGTATATCAAGTTTACAAGTTGGAAATCTGACTTCAGAAAGTGCTAACGTTAAAAATTCAGACCTCCCAGTGCAAATGTAACGCCATATTAGTCCCTTAATGTAGTACATATACTACTCTCATGTAGGTTTTATTTAAATCAGCTTTATTGGCATGAATATAGTGCAGTATGACAGTATGAAATAGTATATAATAGAGGCACGTGATACTTTTGGTAAATGGGTTTAATTCAAAATGAATTTACTCTCTGTCTCTTAGGAGGGATGTCTGTGGTCTTCTGAGGGTACGGGGACCAGCAGTGGTCTGAATGAGGTGAGTTCAACCAGAAATCTGCTAAAATAAACTTATGTCGTAACAACTCAGTTTAATGTTACACAGTTTGACACGGCACTAAACTGATGTCCGTCCTCACCACAGCACCAGGTGTATAACCCACGCCCTCCAGACAGAGGAGTCCCCTCGTCCTACCTGCAGCGGGAGCCTCAGCATGCCCAGTCCCAGTCCCAGTCCCAGCCTCCCCTCCAGTCCCAGCGCTTCCAGCACACTTACGCCCCGACTCGCTTTCAGCCGACGTACCCCTACCTGCCCCAGAGCCTCATCGATCTCCCCCCCACCATATGCCTCTCAGATGGGGAGGAACCCCCGCCTTACCAGGGCCCCTGCACCCTGCAGCTTCGAGACCCGGAACAACAGATGGAGCTGAACCGCGAGTCGGTCAGAGCGCCGCCCAACCGAACAGTGTTCGACTCCCACCCCCTCGACCCATCCAGCTCCTGTCTGCAGGCCAGGTAAACAAGTTACTATACAAGAGATTGTTCCCAATGTTTCTCTCTCATTTCTTCATGCTCTCATCTCTGTGTGAACAAAACAAAATTGTAGAGGCTAAAAAGTCAATCAGCAACTTAAACTCCACCTCAATAGTTCCAGGACCATTAGAAAGTACCACCCCCATGGCATTGACTGTTTTGGAGTTAGTTACTGTGACAGGGAACTAAATTTAGACTTTGGTTCCTGTGATTCAAAATATATGTGTTCCTGAGTTCCTTAATGGGTCCTATGCTCCTGGAAAAGGGTTGGGTTTGGTTTAATCCAACATTCTGCCTGTTTTCCTTCATTTTCTGCTCCTCCAGTTGGTTTCATTCATGCTGTTCTGCTCTCATCACTCTTGTTTATGACTGTTGTTGTTTTGCTTCCAGACTGCAGGCCCCTCCTCCAAGCGTCCACTCAGGTGTCAGTGTGTTAGAAGCCCAGGAGGCCTTGTCCCGGCACCAGAAGCAGGGCTCTCGAGTAGAAGGAGCTCCGCCAACCTACAGCGAGGTGATCGGGCACTACTACCACCCGACGTCCCTGACCCCCAGCCACAACAGTCGGACTGTGTCATCCTCACAAGCACCGCCGTCCTCGTTCATACACGGCCTGCTCCGACCTCCGCCTCAGCAGCAGGGAAGCGTGGACAACAGGAACGTGAGGAATACGAAGGAGAAGTCCCAGAAGCCACAGCAGGTGTGACAGTACTGCTTCCTTATTCCTAGCCTGTGGGAAAACCAGGATTTTTTTGTCTGCTCGCGACTTGGGAAGTGGTCAGTAGTCAATGAGGAACAACCTGGTGAATGGTAACACCCCTCTGAATGGTTTAAGGGCTGGTTAGTTGTAGTTGTAGTCCCAATTCACGGATCGGGCTAGGACTGGGAAGAAGCGCACGCTGGCTTCTCGTCAAGAACACCTGGAAGCCACATCGCTCCTGCAGAGCACAGTTGCAGGAGAAAATCTGGTACTTCCTGTTCCACGGCTTCTTACTTCCTGTCTAAGGAGCACTTCAGATGAACCGATGATGATGTCAGAGAAGAAGGGCAGAAGGTGCAAAGGGAAGGGCGGCTACAGAAGCCTCCTCCTTCTTCCCTAACGCCACCTCGTCCCTTCTCTACTGGACTGATCTAACTTCATTCATATAAATATTTACTTGTTCTGTTTGTTTCTATAGAACCTTTTGTTTGTTTGTTTGTCTTTTTCGCGCTTACAGAAAATCTTTCTATCCAGGCAAATGACGAAACGTTGCAATCTTCTTGGTTCTTAAAGGTTTTGTTTTGTCCTGTAGTGATAATCCCCCCTCGCTGCTTTGACATCCGTTTAGTTCTGTTTCACGTTCACGACTGCATCGGCGGCGACTCCTGCACCGGGCTTTAGCTGTATCACTGGGACGTGTTAGCACGTTAGGATATTTCCAGAAAGAGTTTAGATATAGTTAGCTTTATCTTAAACTAGCTTACCAGTCGTAGCACAGTGCTAATTGTCCCCAAGCTAAAGGTTTCTGCCTTATATCGACCAACAGATGCAGGAGTTGCCACTAAAATCCTTTTTAGTTTTTTTATCTTATGTTTTCTAAAGAAGGTTTGCACAAGACAGTTCACCACAGAAAAAGAATCCGCAATATGATTGACGTAAGAGAGAAAACAGAGAAAGTAGGGGTATTTTTCTAAACTTGATAGATTGTTACGAGTAAAGATGTTTTTTTCTGTTTTTATATGTTGTCTAGTTTTAGAAAAAGAACATCATTGATCTGTTGCCAACTTTCACGTTGAACATTTTGTTGCATACATGTTATTACATTTTGAGTATATATACACACATGTATGCAAACCGAGAGCGAACTTAAAAGCACGAATTTAGAGTTATTTATATAATTGCTGAAAAGAATTGCACTATTTTTTAGTATGCGCAGATGGAACGTGTGAGAGAGACTTTTATTGTGAAGGAGCTCTGTGTATTGAGGCATAAACAGAACGAGAGACCTGAAACCATGGGGACTCACCAGAGGGTCGGACCTGCTCGGTGCACAGCGACCTATCACAACAACATATCATGGGGAGATTGGTTCAACGGACTCGGATCAACCGTTACTGTACCATTGATATATAAAAAAACAAATCCCTCATTTATGCAAACGTCCGAGTCCTGCGAGCTAACCGCAAGTCAGTGTTCAACCTGTGGGCCCAATCAGAAACTCTGCTTGTAGCTCTCTCTCTCTCATCCTATTGGCCGAATCGTTTGCCAATCCCAAAGCTGGCTGTCACTACCTCGACCAAACAAGCCAAGCACAGTTCGCTCACGTTGATCAGACTCTGTCACATTGATCAGACGTCTGAACTAATCACGACAATGTGTAATGTAACAGTAGAGTAGAGTAGGAAGTAGTCGAGTTTTTAATCCTGCTGTGTGTTATTTTATTCGAATGTCAGAATTTTTGTTCGTCGGGTGAAAAGAGAGAGACACAATGCAGACCCAGTGACACCTAACGCCCCCTCTGTAGTACACTACGGAGGAGCCAGGTCACCCTACAGGCCCTAAATGAGTGATACGCTGACTGTGCACCGCTGTGGCCGCACACACACACACACACACACACACACACACACACACATTAGACCAACATGTTTGGTCACAAACACCTCCAGTTTCATCTTTCCTGCCTTCGCAACACACACAGTCCCCTCTGGTGAGTCTCTTCTCTTGCAGGCATCTCTAAGCACTTTACTGCAGCAGGAACGAGACAACAATCTTCGGTCAGCCAGCGTCAGACGATAAAAACTACGGTAGAGCCCTTTAATATTCTAGGTTAGATTCCCCGACCTTTAGAGCCACGATTTTAAAAGATGCAAAGAGTTGTGCTCTGAAACTTTAAATATCCTTCAAGTGGAAAACAAATTCTAACTATTACAACATTTTTGATGCCTTACTTTGAGAAATAAAGAAGTGTTTTGCCACAAAATCCTTCTTTTTATTTCTCAAATGTTAAATTTTCGTTATACAAGCAGCAGTACAAGAACTTTGGTGAAATAAAATACAGTATGGAATTGGCAAAAACTTTTATTAAAATTAGGAACTACCTTATCAAAGAATTAGTAAAAAAGTGTCAAGGTTTGATACTCAGTTGAAGTAACGACTTTTAACGACTTCTAGCAGCAGTTAATTGTATTTTTATTTTGGATATTTCACTTTTGGAGCAGAACTCTTTGCGCGCTGAACGCAGCACGAGATGGGTTGTCGCAAACTAGGCACGCCGAAGTGTTGAAAAGTGACACGAGTGTTAATAGCAACTCGTCTCGTGTAGTCTCTTTGAGAGCGTCGGACTAAAGGTCGAGCTTTAGCTTACTGATGTAGAAGATTAGAACATATTTGTAGTTTTGTCTTTTAGTTGTATCTTGTGTAAAAGTGTTCGATGGAGCCTCCACTCTGAAGTTGAACTATTATCAATGTGAAGGCGCCCTTTAGAGTCCAGCCTTTATGCAACAGCGCCCTCCACAGGGACCGAACCAAACCGCAGCCAAAACTCCTGAAACTGAGTCCGCTTAACTTTTCAGCCCGAGGAGAGGAGAGAGTCAAAAGGCCAAAAAAAAAGATACTGTATAATTTTTTTAATCTGATACGGTGAATCCTGAAATCCTTTGTCTTTTCTTTCACATGTCATCATAACGTCATAACGAGTTTCAGAGCGAAACATCTGATTGTCTGAGAGATAAATCCTGGTGATCTTTAAAAACCTTTAACAGCACTTAGCTCTGTTTTGAAGTTCCAGAATCCTTAAAGAGTCTTTTAAACATCTTGATAAAAATTCAGTCGCTGTGCTATTGTGCAGCAGATTTTATCTAGTTTGTAAGTTTTCTGGAAATACATTATCCTCAAAACACATTGTGGTGTGTGCTCACCGCTGTCTGGATTTGTTAAAAGATTTTCAGTTATTTACCCTTCAGAAAAACAGATGCTCAGCTCTGTGACTCGACTGTAGCTCTTCTTAAACAGCGATCACCCTCATTATTTTTGATTTTTCTTTTTACATAGCAAAACGAGCTCTTCCTCAGATAAACAGAGGAAGTTATTAATCTTATGTTGTGTGAATCCTGCCTTAAACTTCACTACAACAACTACATCAGGTTGACAAATAATCAAAAGCGATTCACCTGTCTCTCTTTCTCCTTTTGTTCCTGTGCTGATCTGCCATATTTTATTTAATGACGAGCACTTAAAGAAAAAAAATCACGATATAAAGAAATTAATCTCTTGACCCAAAGCAGCTAAAGGAGCAATGAGTGGATCAATCAAAGTGTGAATCAACTTTGACCTCAGATTGAGATTACGAGCCCGGTCCCGACACAAGTCTCGATAACTTGACCCTCTCTTTCCTTTTCTTTCCTCTTCCCCTCCGCCAGTATTATACTCGTGTTCGGACAGGGCTGTTCCCTTTTTCAAAATGGTTCGATTCCCTGCCCTGGAGGGTTTGCAGCGGGTATGAGAAGGCTGGATCGGCTCTGATCAGGGCGCCACAGTAGAATAAACGATAGTAGTGATTAATCTAATGTAGAAGTAAAACAGTGTAGGATCAATCTCTCACTTCAGGGAAAACTTGCGCTGGCTGACGACACAAAAAGAAAAGACAGGAGGGGCGAGGAGGGGAACACAAATCACACATTTAGTCACACAGATGAAATGATTATACTGCATATATGCTGCTGATACACCACACACTGCCTTCACGTACACGCTGGTGTGTTTACATGCAGAGACAACAGATTTACAGCCCTTTAGTTCTTTAATAACTGTAAGTTCAGCTATTTTTCAACCCGGATCCTATTTGACATGTTTAAAGTGACTAATGGAGAGAAAACATTTCCAGTTGGTCCAGTGTTGAGAAAAAGTGCTGCAGCCGGCGGCAAAACAAGCTGCAGTGTAAACGCTCGGGGCATTTGTGCACCTTTACGTCCACTAAGAGTGTTTGTTTTGCCACTGACAGACTCAGATTATTATTGTGTAATAAGTGTCTGACAGTATTATAGAAACAATCCCTACAGAGAGAGACCTGTTTGTTGAAGAGAAAAATCCTTTTTTTAAACCAGAAGCAGCCCCAAAGTTGGTCCCGTCAAACCCACCAGACTCCATTTAAATAAAGAGTAATTTAAGCGTGTATAGAGGCAGCGCATTTTAACATCTAACTGTGCAAATTATTATGATTAAGGGTTTATTTTAACCCAACTGGAGTTAGTGATTGTTGGAACAGTGCGAAGACAAAGCAAAACGGCTTTTTTGTGTTTAATTTTGTCTCAGTTGACATTGGATGAAGTTTGTTTTATGATATTAAAATCTCTGTTTATTTGAATGGAGTCTGGTGGGTTTGGCGAGGGCTATTTCAGGGCTGCTTGTGGTTAAACATGAAGGTAGATCTCTGTTGGGATCCTTTCAATAATGTTGTCACGCTTAGAATAACAATCTGAGCCTGTCAGATGCAAGTGGATTCAAGGTGACATTGCACGATTGCCCCAGGTTGTTATGTTGCAGCTGGTTATACTGGTAATACTGGACCAATTAAAAAACCATTCGTCTTTTTGGTCACTTGGACACAAAATGATGGAAAAATATGGTCCAGGTTGAAAAATACTTCAGCGACCCTTTAAGTGGAGTCGATTGAGTGAAACCCACATTAGCTGTCGGTCACGTCTGAAACCAATCATGTCTCTGTCTCCTAAAATGTGTCCAAGTCAGTAATAATCTGTTTGAACTGGTCACACACGTCTCTTTGCTTTAAGCCAGCGTGAAGGCAGAGTTACAACAATGTTTTTGTAAAGTCAGCGGACTTTTCCCAGAGCAGAGTGTGTGTGTGTGTATGTGTGTATGTGTGTGTGCTGTTAATGTACACTGACTTGCCCTGGGAAAGACCTCCAGCTGTCTAGACAAAAACTAAACACACTCACGCAGAGCAGACTAAACAAACTTACCTAAGAACCAGACCTTGCACACACACAGGTGCACCTTCATTCATGCACACACTCTTATTGTGGACCACACAAGATCGCAAAAACATTTATCTAACACACACACCTGGCCCTCATCCTCCTCCTCCTCCTCCTCCTTCTTCCTCCTGTCTCAACGAGCTTTCCTGTTCCCTAGAGATGCCTGCTGTCCAATGACAGAGCTCCTCTCAGACCGGCCCTCGCTGCCATTGGCTGTCTGTCCGTCGGTCTCCGTGGAAACGTTCATGTATTATTGTTGCTATGTCGTACAAGTGTGCCTGCCTGCGCTGAGACGGGCGAAACGTGAGTGGCTAGTTTGGGCTGTCAATCATCCCGGGCCACGCCTCCTTACTGTCTCAGATGATGATGATGATGATTGGATGATGATGATGAGATTGAGGATGATGAAGATTGATGTTTTTGATAGTGATGCCGCAGAGAGCGTTGCAATACACCTACTATTTGCCTTTTTGATATTAGTCATTTTAACGTAGTGTGCTAAGTGTAAAGTTTTTTATTGTTGTTGTTATTGTTGTTGTTTATTCACTTGAGAACAAAAAAAAGGTCATTTTACTTCAATCCATCGATCACACTTTTTTATTTTATTTGTAAAACCAACTTTGAGAGTGTAAAACTACCTAACACACACAAACACACACACACACACGCTGCAGATCACTGGGCGGAGCTGTAAATACAAGACAACGTGCGTCTGCTTTAAAGTGCCATTTCACCGTTTGTCAGAGGACGAAAACTCGCGCAAACCACCGCTCATTCAGTCGCGAGCTCTTCCTCCACGCACTTACGAGTCCGAGTACACGTCTCTGTGCATGTTAACATCAAGTCCTGCTCACCCAATTCGTTCACTGCACCCCTAATCATCACCTCTCCTCGCCCGGCCCAGCGTCTACATGTGTGCCTTCTGGTGTCCCGGCTCAACGGAGACCTCGTCCGTCTGTAAAACACTTCCCCTCAAATACTCCAGTACTGTTGCCTTTTGACAGACGACACCAATGTGTTCATGAAATACACCTGATGTATGGAAGCCCATTCAGGTCAAGAAAGAGGGAGAAATGGATCAAATGTGAGGAGTGATAAAAACAGAAATACTCAGAGATTTATTTTGACAACATGGACGAAAAATCTTTAGTGTGCTTTGAAGAAAATGTAAATGTGAACCTCTACATATCCATGACAACTGAGAAAACAATCTGCTGAGGAAGATTGTTTGATGCAATTGAAAGCTCCAGAAACAGCTTAGGAGTTGTTGTGGTTGTTTTGGTCAGAAATACTCAAAATTTGGACTTTCTGAGTAAAGAATTGGACTTAATGAGCCAAAATTAGAGGAAAATTATAATTATAATTACACAATTTTTTTTTTAACTTGACATGAATTTTACTTGAACCTTTATTAGCTGTTAGCCCCTTGAGATGAACCATCTTGTATTCAAGGGGGTCCGACACAAACCATACATACATGGCTTATTTTTTACTTAGTGTCTAATAATTTTGAGTATTTTTTGTTTTATCATTCAGATTTTTCATCTGTTTTTCTTTACCCATTTTCCTGGCGTGTATGGGCTTCTATAGAGATAAAGATAAATAATGTTGTGTTTCTAGGGATGTCGGAAAGTTTAAGTGTTGTAACGTCTACAATGAACTTCACTGAAGTTGTATTTTTCGCACAGCGTGACCTCAAATGCGTCACATTGTCATGGTGCTGAAAAAATGAAAAGCTCAGTCGCATCTGATTTCAGCTGTTGGGTCATGAAACAGTGAAACTCCTGCTTTTTAAATTTTGGCTCGAGGAACTACGAAGCCACCAGCTGGGATTTTTGTCTCACTTTATACATTTAATGGAACGCAACATAAGAAACAGCACCGGAGCCAACATGGCTGCCAAAAAAAATTCAACAAAAATAATAATCTAACACATTCAAAGACACTACAGCCCCGTCCTCTGTCCACTGCATCGTTAAAGACATTTCCAAAGAAGGAATCATCCTAAACAAGACTCTTGTTGCTTAAAAAAAAAACAAAAAAAAACCAACAAGAGTTACACCTGACTTGAACTTTTCTGTTTTTTGTTTCTTGGGTGAAACACTTTGCTTTACCGAAGCCTTTTCCCAGCTCCTGTTGTAACAAAAACACATCCTGGTACCAGTTTGAAAGAAGAACTCGTTCAAGTCGTGTTTTGTTGCTGCTCAGACTGGAGGAAGGTGAAGCGTAAGAGAAAACTGTTTTGCCCTTTTTGTGTTTTCGCTCATTCTGCCTGTTCTTTTCTGCTCTGCTCTTTGAATCAGCGCTGCACGGCGCCTCCTCCTCCGACAATGTTGAAGAAAATATATGAAAACACTCTCTTTTGGTTGCAGTCGGTATGTGTGCATATTTAAACAAAGCCTCGATATCTTACAGGACGCGGCGGCGCTCTGTCGCTTGTCCACCGCAGTGACTATTGTAGAAGTCTTCCAGCTGTTTTATCCTGCAAGCATCTAAAAATGTGGGACTTGTACAATAGATCCGTTTGTCGTGGTCAGGATTCCTACATGTGGCGTGTGTCAGATAAGACATGAAGGAACTCTGACCTGTTTCTGTTGTAAAACACTCAGCAGCAGGCTCGTCATCGTCCTCTCGCCGCAGAGGGAGGAAGGTGACGACTGCTGACGTAACTCCAGTCTGTTCTCTGTTCACAGCATGGCTCACATACTTATATAGAGGCCTACTTATTCTCAATGATAATAATTGCTTATTTGTGTATTAAAAACCGTTTATTTTAATTTATATTGAATGGTCTACGTGTTGCAAAGGTTTGTTACGTTGTTATTTTCTTCTCTGTTTGTTGCAAACAGAAGACAATGGTTTATCGTTGTTGTCACAGAACATGGTATGAATCGGACACATTGCAGTTATAGCCTTCGATTTAAAAAATAAATAAAAAAGTTTTATAAATATGTCCTCGTCTCCTCTGGTTATTTATTTATCATTTGTTTGGTACACTGGTGAATAAACTCTCCCAGAATTTCAGTTTGCTTTTTTTAAATAATGGAACTCGCATGAGAAATTGAGAAGAAACAACTTCACCAGACTGGACATGAATTTTTTATTTTTATTTTTATTTTACCAGTCAGCAGCAGTGACTTTGCATGTGTACTGACTGCTGTAGCTTGTTTACTTTTCTACTGGACTGAGTATTGTGGCGTTGGATCGTCCCTGAGGGGCTGTTGGCCCTGTACAAGCCCCCGTTGACCTGCAGTGGAGGATCGTACATGGAGCCACAGCTACTAACACTCAGATCCCGGTTCGGGGGGGTTGTCCTCTCTACTCAGAGACAAACACAAAGCAGTATCTGCACTTGAGTATCTGAACGTTTCCTCCTCAGCTGCTGATGAATGCTGTGGTCTGTGTAATGTCAGCCAGCATCCAGCAGGTGGTGCACGTCACTCATATTTGTTTTTTAAATCCATCCATCACTAGTTTTATCATGCACACCTGTGTCTTCTGTGACTTCCTGTCAGAGGTTGTCTTCTACCCAGAATTCTTTGAGGGTGGTTTCTGCTTTCAGTGAAGAAGACTTCATTTAGATGTTCTGAGTTTTACATGATTTAGTTGTTTTAAAGTTCAGTATTTAAGTGTCTGTTCATCTTGTGTGAACTGCACCAAAGTACATTTACTCATCTCCTGCAGTCAAAGTGAGTAGTTTTTTGTATCATTCAACACCTGCACTCAGTGGTTACTTTGCAAATTCAGATTTGCAGCTCCTAAAAAAACAACTCATAAAATATATATATTTGATAAATTAACTGTTAAAGTTAGGTCAACCATTAAAATAATAATCAGACAATATAACACTGACAGGGACCTTTCTGTCTGCACAGTAAGGAATGAGATAACATTTTGAATGCCTGACCGTTGTTGACATGCAGGTGGCTGGACGCAAAAAGAAAACAAGCCGGTCGCCTCCCTGTGCAGTAATTTTCCGTCCCAGCTGAAGTGACAGCAGGTCACTGACACCAAGTCGATATCACAAAATCAGATCATAACTGTGCACGATTATCTTTTAGATATCAAATGATATGGGAAGTGGTTAAAATTATGACGATAATGAGCACTGAAGATAAGAGAGTAACCATGGCAACATGAAATATGGAAATAAAACAGTAAATATAAGAAGATACTGCAGGTTACAAGTTAAGGTGCGAGTGTGTGGAAGTCAAATCAGTAAGAATTATTTAAAAACTTTAATTTTAGTATCAACATCAAATATCAGGTTATTCAAAAACTATTTTCTGGTCATAATAACTGAAAATATATTATCTGTTATTTTCCTCAAATCATTTCATGTATCTCATTACAAAGCTCCTGTACTGCTGACATTTCTTTCTCTTTTTATAAGTGAGAAATGATGTGAATGTGTGAGTCGCCCAGTGATACATCAGATAAAAGACTATTGATATACAATGATAAATAAAAATAGATAAAAACAGTTGCAGTACGGGTTTGAATTTTAAAGTATGTTATCATAATTTTGGTGCCATAGAAAAATATGCCTGCTATATTTCATGGTTCATAATCAGTTTTCCTTCCTGTGCAGCAACATAAGGCTGAGAATTAATAAAAGAAAAGAGAGAAAAATTACCCACACATGCACGCAAAAACAAAAACAAAAACAAAACAAGACCAAAAAAAAAAAAACATACCACTTAGACTGATAATAACTGAAAATCCTACATAAAAAAAATAAGGTCTGTGGTATTTTGTATTTTGCACTTTTTCTCTCTAAAGCAGGATTCTGTTATTTACTCACCTCTGCAAATGTTAATGTACCAAACATGAATATGTATAGTGTCCTTTACCAAGTTTTGTATTTCAGCTTTTTTTCTGACAGTATCACTTTACTTCATTTGATTATTTTGGTTTCCGAGAGGAAAGTTTTGCTGCTCACAGTCGTCTTCTCTTTGTCTCATCAGGAATAAATCAGCTTCTTATTGGGAGGTGACTAAATTCTGATTTGTTTTGTTCGGAGAAATGAGGAGCAAGAATAAATAAATCAGCAGGAGTTCGTCTGCTCAGAGTTTCTTAACCCTGGCAACAGATAAAATAGAGCTGAGACTTGAATTTACTGAGACACATTTATTATAATAATAATGATAATCTTTATTTAAGTGCTTTACATGGAAATAACTAAAACAGACAAGACATGGAAACAACAACTTTTAAAAGAGTTGATAAAAACTGAGGAAATGAAAGAGTTTAAATGAACTTCAAACTCAAGTAAAATCAGGAAAGGCTCTCCGATAAAAGTATGTTTAGAGAAGGACCTTAAAGGAGATCTCTGAGCCTCGGGGCCCTGACAGCAAACGCATGTCCCCTGCTCTGCACAATTCATGAACATGTGCAGGCTCATTTATAAGTCAATCAAGTTTTCTTTTGGATCTTACTGTGAACTAAAGAGCTGATTATGTCAGACATATAAAGATGACTGCAGTAAGAGAGGAGAAAGAGCATTTTAAGATCTTAAATTAGGATCAGGCCGAGGCCAGAGGAAGCCTGCTTCTCAGGAGCTGAACATGAAGAGGATGAGGAAATGGTTAAAATCTTATACTGATGTTATAATGAGCTCAGTTATGTCGAGGACAAAGAAGAGATCTTATGTTGATTTTCCCTTTGGGAGATGATGATGACGTTCATAAAACTTGTCTGACGTGTGACTTAAAGATGTCAGATCATAGCTCTAATTATATATAGAGAGAGATGGTGATGTTTTTAATCAGCTGACATTTTAATCCGTCAGTAGGAAAACAACTGGTGACTGTAATGACACTACAATGCATTCCACTGAGGCGTTCCTGTTCCTGGTCATTCCTGTTCCTGGTCATTGTTCTTACAGGTGCGACTTACGGAAAACATTAAATGGAACTGAGTCATTGTTGTTGTTGTTGTGATTTACAGCCGTGCTCATCGTGATGTGTCCAAATGTCTCTTCCTTGAGCAGAGACAGGAAGGATGTGATTTAGAGATCACTATTCATTCAAACAGCAGAGCAGCGATACCTCCGTCCATTCAGCTGTTACCTCGCCTGATGTCTGGTTTCACATGGGACACTATCAGCGGTGTCCTGGGTGAAAGTCTGGAGCTCCCACCTGCTCTGTGCAGACTTGTCCAGGTCTTTCTACTACAGAGTGTCAACAAAGGGGCATCTGATACAGAAGTTTGAGGGTTCCTCCGTTCATTTGTGTCTAACACCGACCGGCCATTTGACGAGTTGGGAGAGAAACCAGGCTGCTATGTATAGCGGACACAGTGAAACTTTACATTAAAGCAACGCTGTGGTTAACATGTGGTTACATTTAGGCACAAACCACTTGGTTGTGGTTAGAAAGGATCATGTTTTGGTTTAAATCCCTGGTGTTTGAAGCACTACCTCTGTTGAGACACTCTCATGTTTGGTGGCTTTAAAGCCGCTGCAAACACAGTTGGTCTCAAAAAACAGAAGGCTTGACTTGGACTCAGAATAACCTGGGACTTGACTTGAACCTCCCCACCAGGACTTGACGTAAGGTACTTGAACATCCAACACATTCTCGCTCCAACCTCGTCGCATATTGACGGCTTGGTAATGGACTCTCCGTTTGTGTGTGTGTTGATGTTCTGGGACACCTTAAGTCAAGTTCTGCCTGTTACATGCATTGTCCTCTTTCAAAATACACTTCTATTTTCACAGGAAGTTTACCGTTTACATACAGTCTCTTTCAAAATAAGTGCACTATGTCGGTACAACACCTCCAATTGATGTTTTTTTCCTTCAACAACAAACACACATGGTTAGGTTTAGGAAAAAAAACAGGTTTGGCTTTATAATCATACGGGAAGCAAACGCTGCTCTCTTGGGTGAAAGTCAATGTTTGTTTGACCCATCCACCACCGCTGCTGCCCACCCCACTCAGACATTCGCCACCTCGACTTTCGTCCTTGTCTCACTGTGATTCCCCCTGACGCTGCTGGGCAACGTTAAACTAATGGCAACCAGCCGTTTATCATGCCAATGTTAAAGGACGCCTTTTCCCATTGGTTTCTGACGCCGCAAGTCACTGCTCAAGCACCGAATTTCGATGATTTCGGAGTGAGACCAGGCTCGCAAGGTAGCCTGGGTGCATCTGTTGTTGATGTTCTGGGACACTGTGCCAACTTTGGCCTGTTATGTGCATTGTGTTCACAGGAAACATACAGTTTGCATACATTCTCTTTCAAATTAAACGTACTAAGTCGCAGACTGCCGATTTTGTCCTTAAAAAACAAAAGCACATGGTTGGTTTATAAAACAGTAACAGGGTTTGGCTTTACAATCATACAGGAAGTGAACTCTGGATCTCCTGGATGAAAGTCTGTGATTGTTGGACCCATCCACCCACCCTACTTGGACTTTTTACTCCCTAAACTCATGTTGTTGTCAGGGCGCATTTCCTCCTGATGCCTCACCCCAGCTGCGTATCATGCCAAGGTGAAAAGATGGCTTTTTTTGTCTGTGTCTGATATGGAAGTCACTGACCAAGCACCTGTATTCAGTGACTTCGGAAAAAGAACGGGTTGGAATATTGGGTCAATGGACCTTTTTTTTAGACCTGTCATAGTAGGAAAGCACAGGTAATGACACTGACAATGGCTCTGCTCTATTCAAGAGTCCCGGTGAGTGCAATCATGAACAAGCATGCACAATACCAGGATCCTGAAATCAAAGCAGCAAAATGGAATTCAGCCATCGACAAAATGTCTTCTGTGAAAAAGGCCTCTTGTCCCTCTAACCTTTAAATAACCTGCTGGTGTAATTTGTCAGTAAAATAATAAAAGCTTAGGTTTTATCTTCCAAATTTTTCTTGAAATAATGTTTAAAAATAATTTTACTTTCACTCCCATTGATGCAAAAATGGTTTGTCCATCACGCCACTGTAAGATC